GGTATCATTGGACTTGTCTCTTTCAAAAAATATGTTGCTCTTTACCGCGAAGCTCCATCTCCAGCAGGAACGAAATGGTGCACAATGTTTTCAAGTTTCTGGTCTTTGTGAAACAGAAAGTTTGCGATTCCAATGTTTTCTAGCAAACTTTTTCTAACAAGAGATATATACCTTACTCTTACAAAAAATATGAAAATTCAAAAAGACAAAATACGGGCCCTGTTCATGAAGTCTGCGGTCGCTGCGGCCGGCCGCAGGTTTTAAGCCCCGCCCATTTTTGAAACGTCATCACTCACTCGGCCGCAGCAGCGCTCCATGAACAGCGTCTGCTGCCGAAATAGTTTCCGACAATTGTTTACAAGTGACGCACACCGCTAGATAATTTGTTTACAAAATCGTCTCCATGACAACACGGCTTGCGCCTATTTGACTTCAGTGCGCCAAGTTCAGTGCAATTAGTTTTGTTGCGGCTCGGCGGTCGCTGGATTGCGGCCGCAGAGATCGCAGCGGCCGCAGCAAGGTGACGTCATACATTCGTCATACTACATGAGCCCCGCCCCTTTTCGTGACGTAACAGCCCGGCTGACCGCAGCGACCGCAGCGGCCGCAGCGATCGCCGGGGTTCATGAACAGGGCCACGGTTTCGGGAGCTTTCGGCTTTGCGCCTTTATCAACCGTTATGTATTATCATAACGGTTATGTATTATCATATTATCAATTATGCATGGACGCGGGAACCGTGGGGGCAATGGGGGCATGCTGCCCCCACAACTTGAAGGCTATGGGGGCGAAACCCCCCACAACTTGAAGGCGTGGGGGCGACGCCGCCCCCACAACTTAACTGAATATTTTCGCGAAATATTTTGTTTTTGTTTAAGCTTTAAAATGCATAATTCTAGTAATTTTCACAATAAAGTGGCCCAAATGCGAAAAAATTGGGTTGTTTTGTTTTTGGGACCAAAGTTGCCCTCCCCTCCACGGCTGGATAAAATGAAATGAAGGCAAAAATAGGTGAGCCGACGAAATTTACTTAGCGTAAAAAATTCACATTTGGTAGCTCTGGTATGGTGGCGTTCCTCTCATTTCCATTAAAGTGACCATCCCACCTAACATTAGTTTTGAGTTGAGATAGCCACATTGGGGTCCCTATCTTGCAATTGCCGATTTTTTTTTCTAAGATAGTCCGTTACCCATGATCAGGTAACCAGGAGTGCCCCCTCCCACAGTCCCGGCGACGCACAGAGACCTTACTTTAACACCAGGTAACATAATAAATTGATCAAGTCGCGGCACTCCCTGCTAAGAAGTGGAAAATATAAATAAAATATAACGCATGCAATACTACTAAAAAATGTTAGTAAGTACGCCAAAAAGGAGGAAAGTAGTCATTGCCGAGTGAAGCAAAATGACTGCCCACTATACCAACACCAGCAACTATCATTTATACCAGTGTTAGTAATTAACGCAATACGCATTCATACTCAGGTGGGGAAAAGCATGCTTGGTCATGTTCTTGCAAGGTCATTTTTATTGCCGAAACCCTTGGCTCCGTCCGGCTAAGCTAGGCTTGTTGCCGGACAGAACCTCAGGAAACAGCACGGACTAGAGTATTCTGAGAATTGGTACAATAAGTTGTATAAATGTCAATGTAGGTAATGCATGTAGATACCATAAGATAAATATGCAAATTGAAATAGACAATGATTGAGAAGCGTGGCACACAAGGATGTATTGTAGTTGGTATTTAAAATAGGTATACACGAATCGTTATGTTGTGTACATGTATAACAACCACATGCGTACATATATGCATATGCATTATGTATGCAAAACATACACACATACATACACATACGACACATATGCATCCCACAAACCAAAGTGGGTAATATGTGCTATTTCCAACGCACAGTACAACGTGGAAATAGCACATATTTACACAAACCCCTAACGATATACGAACAGTATAGCTATACACAATATATAGGTAGGTATAATGTTTGTCGCTATGAGGTTGATTATTCTTATTATTGTTTTGATTGTTCATTAATTGTTCATATTTATCTTAAGTGTTGTATGAATCAGCAAAGTGTCTGCGTATCACCTTCTTTATTATTTGTTTTGAAGATGGAATATGATTAATAGTTGTGAAAAGAGGTGCAACAATGCTATTCCACAATCTAGGACCTAGAAATCTGATAGTAAATAGTCTGTAGTTGCGATTAGAGAAGGGCTGGTTGAAGTAAGTGGTACGCCTCGTGCCGGCATGGTTTTCGGGACTCAAATCAAACAGGTTGTTAATTGTTTCTGGAAGTTGTTCTTTAATGAATTTGTGCATAACAAGAAGCATATGAGATCTCGCTATATCAGTTGTCCTTAATAAGTTATATTTTTTGAAAATAGGCACAGAGCTCTGAGGTGGGTAAACTCGTTCAATTAGTCTGACAGCTCTCTTTTGTAATATGATGAGTTTTTCTAACTGAGCATGGTAATTATTTCCCCATACGATACAGCAATAGTTAAGATATGGAAGAATTAGGGCATTATACAAAAGGAGGGTCGTTCTCTTATCAATATAGAAGCGTACTCTTGCCATTATTCCGATGTTCCTGCTAACGATATTTGATGTATAGTCTATATGTTTTGTGAACTTCAATGACTTATCGATGAAGACTCCTAAATATTTGATAAACTCTTTCTCTTTAATTTCAGTTGAATCAAGTACTACATTTACTTTTAACCCTGAAGACTGAGTTGCATAATGCTGTGTGAAAGTTTTTGTGCCGTTTAGAGAAAGAAAGTTTGCATGAAACCAGTTACTGACTTTTTCAGTAACTTCATTTACAGTTCTTTGTAGGCTATGTATGCATTTATCTTTAAATATGATTGCAGTGTCATCTGCATAGGAGAGGCAAGTTACGTCAGGACTGATGTTTGGTAAATCATTTATATATAATATAAATAACAGAGGACCCAAGATCGATCCCTGCGGAACTCCCATAGTAACATTTTTGACAGATGAGTATGCTTTTCTTATTTTCACACATTGCTTCCTTTCTTGCAAGTATGAAGATAATATTTGTTGTGAGTGCCGATGTCGGCACTCAAAACGAAAAATGTTGTGATTCGGAAATATTTAATTTCAAAGTCTGCAGCAGGGTTTCGGAGTCGCGGTAGCGCTGTTCCGACTCCGACTCCGGGCTCCTGACCGACTCCGACTCCGACTCCGACTCCGACTCTGATACGAATGGCAATGGCGGCCGCCAAAATTTTGCGTGATATGACGCCACGTGCTAGGTCTACGTGCACGGGGAGAACGCTCATACTCTCCGGTTTCCTTCATGCAGTCACCATTTCTCCCACGTGGACGCAGCTGAATCCACAAGAGGTCAGCGGTCATCATCATCATCATCATCAGTTTATTGAGGTCTTCCAGTAAATGGCTTTTCAGGCCTCTCGTCATACATAATACAAACACAGTAAAATACACTATCGGTAAGAACAACACAATGAAAATATAAATGTTAAAAACGTGAATACGGTTAAGATTGTTAAAAGTATGGACAGTCAGGTTCAGCTATGTCCGACGATGCACTTGGAGGTCATCTCTCGATTCCATGTGCACACACTTCTATGGGGGAAGCTGCGCCTGGCGCGCTCAGTGGAGATACGAGGGACTTCGAGCTGGCCTCCACATGCGCTCCGAATGCGCCGGTCTGTTACGTCCGAGCGGCGCTGCACAATGTGAGCTAGAGCCGGCGGCACGTCAGATGAGATCAGCCTATCGATGAGGGCCACATCTCGCTTCGCCAACATGCCCTCGAAGCGCGCCCATCCCAGAGCTCGCAGAGCTGGGGATGGTCAGCGTGGAAACCCGCCGAGAAGCGCGAGAGGCGGCCGTATCACGAACACGAGCATTGCCATCATGTCTGTCATTCCTATGTGTTGATACTTTTCGGATCATAAACGAAGAAAATAAAAATACAGTTGCCATTTAGTCTTTGACTCGTCAAATACTTCAGATATTGGAAGTTATAACACGCATGCAAAATACTTGGCTACTAAATTATGATATAACTTGAAACTTATCTGATCCAATGTTTGTCATTTAGAACAAAAACAAGATGAGTGTATTTTTTATCGCAGGAAGCGAATTCTACCGCGGGCAACTGGTAAAAACCAGTAAAACGCCTTTTGGGGCGACTAACGGAGCGAGCGAGAGGGTGAGCCTTGCACGTGCGAAATTTCGAGCGGGTACCCCCAACTAACTTGTGCACGGCACCCTACTGACCGGTCTCTAGCGATGTGCCAAATTTGAGCACAATCGGCCCAGCCGTTCTCGAGATCTGGGAGCGGCACCCTGCACGTGCGCACGTACAAAATGGGCTCCAACTGACTTGTGCACGGCACCCTACTAACTGGTCCCTAACCATGTACCGAATTTGAGCGCCATCGGTCCAGCCGTTCTCGAGATCTGGAAACGACCCCTGCACGTGCGCACGTGCAGCAGCACCCCAACTCTGGCACATGGATATGCAGTGCCTAGTGGGTGCCTACCTACATGCCAACTTTCAGCGCAATCGGCCAAGTAGTTACCGAGATATTGCAACAATTACAAAACTGACACCTCTTCGTTTTGCACGTGCCACGTGCATAAGGGGTCACCCACATGCATCGGGAATAGTCCAATAGTTGGTAGAAGGAATGAATATACCCTAGAAAAATTACCGCATGTAAATCGGTCAAGTGGTTGCTGAGATATAAGCCTCGCAAAAGCGTCCGCACGGCCGGCCGGCCGCTCATACTCAGAAATTTCCGTTAATATAAAGCCGCGTTCCCACTACGACCGTTCAACATCGTAAAGTGAAATAACGGGAGAAAACCGGCAAGATCGGCAAAATCACAGCATGCATTTTTACGATCTCTGCCGGTGGTGGTGGGAACCGGGTATGTGGCGCGTGTTTTGGGATGGAAGCATTTTTACGGTTTTAAACCATCTTGGTTGGTTGGTGAGTTCATTGAAAAGTTGAACATTGCTCAACTTTCTAACGTTTTTGCAAGTTTCTGTCGTGAGCTCCTTGCAATATTTAATAGTGAATGCAAGACTTTCATTGATTTTTGGAAGCATATATGGTGAGTAGATACTTGTTTTTCATTTACTTAAGCTTATATATTTATTGTGCTAGGCTTTTACATGTGCTAAGCTTGCATAACGTTGTAGGTGTATTTTAAGGTTGATGCCAAGCTTCATTTTGAAAGCATAGTTTTAACTAATGTTGTATAGCTTTCACATTGTTGTAGCTTATGGCAAAACTTCAGCCATATTAAGGTAATCTTAATACTTTTCCTTGCGTATCATGCAAATATTTGTAAGCATAATTTCTAATTACAATGCTATATGCGCTAATATGCTACACTGTGCAATAGGTAGGTACCTACTTAATGTATTTTTCATGTTTTCAGATGCGGTGGACAGAAGAAGCAGAAGAGCTGTTGATTGAAACGGTAAAAAAAATATGAATGGTTATACAACCAACAGCACGCTTCGTACAAGGATATTAAGAAAAAAGAAAATTCATGGAGAGAGATCGCAGCCTTCATCGCTCCAGACATCCCTGATAATGGTATAGAATTATAAGATGAAATGATAATAACGTAGCTAATGTAAGTCATAAGTACCTACTTAATAGCTCGATGCCCAGCTATATCTTCTGGAACTTGACCAGTTTAGATTAGACTTGACTTGGTTTTAAGGTTAGCACTAAACACCCACAGATATTATGCCATTTTATTTGATAACATAACCTAATAATGTCGACTTATAACCTATGTTGGTGTCATTCGAAGCTGCAACAACAGTTTTGATCCTCTGACCGTACAATAAATTGTCATTCACTCGTATATTCTATCTTTCACCTTATAGGTTTGTGTTATTCCACAGCGAAGGTAGTGAGCCATCGCTGGTCGCAACTACGAGACAAGTACCGCCGGTACCGGCCTACTCGAGTGCCAAGTGGTGGAAGCCGCGATGACGCCGACAAGGCGTCGAAGAAGGCTAGAAATTGGGCGCTATTTCCTCTCATGCATCAGCTTCTGGACAAGCACACTGGACAATATAGACGGTGAGCATAGGACGGGAACGGGGGGGGCAGTGGGGGCAGCTTGCCGCCACAACTGTGGGGCCGTGGGGGCGGTGCCCCCACAACTTTGTGACAGAATATCGTATTTTTTATGCAAATGTTATCTTTTTTGTTGAAAAAGTCAAGGGATGAAAAATAAGTGGCCTAAAACCGGCGAGAAAACTAGATTTGGGGGTACCTTAGGTTGACCTCTATTATGGTTTGCCCCCTTCCAGTTTGAAAGTAGTTCCCGCGCCCCTGACGGCGCGTTTTATAAGCATGACGAAGCTTGAGATATTGCGATTAGAAACATATTTCAGATTTAGCTTCGCCCGTATTTGGTGTTTTGCCAGCCGCTAACGTAAATGGGGAGGGGGTGGGGGGGGGTGGATTGGACCTTCCAGGCTCCAGCCGTTTTGCTGCGTATATATATATATATATATATATATATATATATATATATATATATATATATATATATATATATATGTGTGTGTGTGTGTCATGTGTGTGTGTGTGTGTGTGTGTACTTGTCCACTGCCGACCATTTCACTATAATAATCTAATGCTTCTAATTGCAGTGCTGGAGACAGCTTCAACGCTCAGAACTCTTCGCAGCAGAGCCAAGCAGCCTCCCAGCTGAGTCAGGTGCCGTCCTCAGTGCCTATAGGAGACGTTGCGTCTTTATCAGAGGCATCGGTAAACACGATAATGTGGGCGGTCGAGAACACGGCAATCACCAATGTCTTCCAATCTGCACCCCCTGGCCATGCTTCCTCGCCCGTAGCCGGCCCGTCGGCTCCTGGTGAGAAAAGCTGCACCCAGTCACCCCCTGGCCATGCTTCCTCGCCCGTAGCCGGCCCGTCGGCTCCTGGTGAGAAAAGCTGCGCCCAGTCACCCCCTAGGCATGCTTCCTCGCCCGTAGCCGGCCCGTCGGCTCCTGGTGAGGAAAGCTGCACCCAGTCACCCCCTAGGCATGCTTCCTCGCCCGTGGCCGGCCCAAACCGAGGATCGAAGAGATCAGCGCAGTCGCCCAGGGCCGCCAGATGTAGCAGTGGCAACAGCCGTTTCAAGCACCGTCCGACTAATGAAACTGACTGGCAAAATCGCCTCGTGAACCACTTGTCCAACCAAAAAGAGGAAGACGAGTTTGATATGTTTTGCCGGCATCTGGCGATAGTTATGCGTCGGATTCGGAGACAAGATGCATACTACTTCATGACAGTCAACCTTCAAATGATGAAGGAGTTTGACTGCCGTGAGTAAACAACGGGAATGGGACACGTAGTGTATAATTGTGTGGGTAATTATCATTTGCGTGTTAAGTTCCATTCACCTTGTTTGAGCAACTGGCAGTGCCAGATGTTCGAGGCAGATAGCTATGCGATTCATTCAAGAACCGATCATTTCAAGCGAAACGATCAAGTTAAATACGTGTTATAGTGTTCTTATTTCTATGTGTTGTTAAATACATGTTTAACAGTTCAATTCACTATATATTCTACGCTGTTGCCAATATAACGTTATGGTACTACAAACACATCCATTTTTACAAAGGCAAAAACCGAGGGTAATCAGTAGGTACGCAAGACGCATGCTAGCAGATATAGCCACCGTTCACTCGCACGTCATGCACAAGCTATTCTTTCCATGTACCTACTCCTGTCCACAAACTACCCAAGCAATGAGTGCATAACCAATAGCCATGCCATATCATCAACGGCTTCAATAAGTCTTATATCAGCCATTAGGGCACTATGCAATTACACATAACATAACTAATGCCTGATAGTTGAGTATAACCAACCCCGCTGTTTGTCTATGAGTCCTACGAATGATGCATTCCTTTAGGGCCAGAGTGACGACCTAGGTGTGCTCGCTCAGCTCACCACGGCGAACCACACGATCCTGCCAAGGCACTGCTCCTTCAGCTGACACGAAGTAGCTTGCGAACTGATCTCTCAGCTCCATGGCATCCCTCGAAGCGTTGTTTGTGCCAAACTGCCCAGCGTGCCCGAACGCGCCAGCTGCTTCGTGCTGAGCCCGCCATGCGCCTCTTCGCAGATGACCGCCATCCTCTACGTCCACGTCGCCCGGGTTGATGTAGTGCAGCTCGTTGGAGACGCCGTCTCGTCGTCTGAGGAAGTTGTGGAGCACAGTGGCCGCCTTGACGATGACGTCTACTGTTCCCACGTCGGCGATGATCGGCTGGCGGAAAATTCGCCACTTGACCACGAGGATGCCGAATGCATTCTCCACGACCCTCCTGCCACGGCTGAGGCGATAGTTAAATACTTGCCTCGTGTGACGATTGGCATCCGCCATGTTTCTTCCTGGGTACGGCCGCATGAGGCAGGTCTTCAACGGAAATGCTTCATCTCCCACCAGCACATAGTTTAGGCCGTCATTTGGTGAAGGCGGGAAGTTGAGACTGCTGTCCTGCAGACCTCTTCCCAAGGCTGACTTGGTCAGCACTGAACCGTCGTTGCAGCTTCCATACTCGCCGACATCAACGTATATGAAGCAGTAGTTGGCATCAGCTACGGCGAGGAGGATGGTTGAAAATGTCCCTTTGTAGTTGTAGAAGAGCGATCCACTTTTCTTCGGTGCCTGCACAAGGATATGTTTTCCATCGACGGCTCCTGAAAACGAAGAGGGTTCACTTTTTATATTGCGCGAGGTCCGGGTGTTGGTGGTTAACTAAACATACTAGGTTTTTCATAATTATTTATTGTCAGTTGAAACTATAGTTATAAATAAAAGAATGGAAGGCAGACGACTTTACCTACCCAAGTAGTGTGGAAAGTTCCACCTCCTTTCGAACTCTTCGGCGATCGCCTTCCAGTCTTCTTGTGCTGGCTTTTTCATTTCGGTCGGGCTCAGCTCCTCCCACAAAGCAGTACATACCTCCTTTATTATTTTGCTGGTGGTGGCACGTCCAACGCGGAATGACCTTCCGATGTCTCGCTGGCTCTGACCACTAGCCAGATATCTGGATCAAAGAAATATGCAGCATGTCAGCGGTTTTTTTTTTGCAAAATTCAATTAATGCGATACGTGTTAAGTAGTGTATGTTAAATCTAGTGTTTTACTTTTTTATTGGGAGAGGTCAACCTAAGGTGTTAACCTCGGGTCAAGGCTAGGTCAGATCCAATCAGATCACTAAGCTATTAGGAGGTAATCTTGCATGCCATGAATATCATGCGTGCATATTAAATTACAATGACCTGACCTGGCCTGAAACTCCATCCAAAGATGGATATGTCAAAGTACAATTCCAAAAACGTACGCCGTGTGTCTCACCTGATAGTTAGAGCCAGTCTCTCTGCGGGAGAAATGGGCTCCCTGAATGATGTTGTCTGCTTCTGTAGCCTGTGGCCGACTACCGCCAGGATTTCCTCGAATCGTCCAGGGGTCATCCTATTAGCATCATGGAAGAGTCCTTCGTTTAATTTCTCTTCTGCAAAGTTGGTTGAAAACTCCCAACTCTGCCCTTTTCTTTAGCTCTTCTCGAACCCAGACTTTCCTTGTCGCGCACGGCTGATGTTCTTCACCTTCTTCCTCTCGATCCTCTCCCTCAGACCCATCTTCGCCGCACTCAAGAAGAAGTAACATGCACAGAGTCTCATCTTTTCTGTTCATGTTGGTAAATAACGGCTCTCAAGTCTCAACTATAGAAAAATGATGGAAAGAAACTAAATAAATATCGCTCTGATAAACATCACAGAACATGGACAGTTCATGGAGAAAGAGACTATGCAAACTTATTTGTTTTGTTGAATCCATGCTGAATCAATGTCAGTCAACTTGACAAATCACGTGTCCTTAATGTGATTTGCTCTCCCGGCTGGCCGAAATATGACACAGAAAACGAAAATACACATGGAAACACCAAGTCCACAGCTCATCTACGCTTGATCTCAACAAATCATCCAAGACCATAGGTATCATAGGCATATAGGAACCATCCACGAAGCTCCTTTCGCCTTTTTCCGATGTTTCCCCATCTTGCCCCGTATACCAGATCTAGGGAAGTGTTCAACTTTTTTAGAAAAGTCTCTATATCAACGATCTCGTCCGTTTGCTCCCGTTCTTGCAATTTACGATGTTGAACGGTCGTAGTGGGAACGCGGCCTAAGGAAAGACTCCGCTCGCTTCGCTCGCTCCGTAAAAACTGAAAAGTGATACCACAGATTCTAGTTATTTTCCGGAGTCGGAGTCGAGGCAGCTTGACCGACTCCGACTCCGACTCCGACTCCTGGCTACTTGCCACGACTCCGGGCGACTCCGACTCCGACTCCGACTCCAAAACCCTGGTCTGCAGTTTGTTTTTTAATTTTAAGGGGCTAATGCATTTGAATGCCCCCTTCGACGGCTCTGAGATGAAGTCCGCAGTAATTTTAATTTTTTTTACGTTTTTTTCTTCAAATTTATTTGATTACGTTATTCGATACTTTGCGAAATGAAGTGGCCTAAATTCGAGGAGAAAATTTAATTTAGGTTACCTTGGTTTTGTCCCCGGAATCGGTCTCCGCCACAGCCATGATCCTTGCCCCCACAACTTCAAACTAGTTTCCGCGTCCCTGATATTATGTAATACATAACGGGCGCAAAGCCGGAAGTTCCCGAAACTGTATTTTGTCTTTTTGAATTTTTATATCTTTGGGCTAATGTGAGAGTAGGGTTAATTTATCGTACACCTCTTATTATCTTCAAAATGTCTCTCAAAACTGTGCTTCAAAACATTCAAAATACCAAACTTTTTCTTCTAAAAACGTTTTGCAAATATTAACTCAAAATTCATGCTCGAAGATTTCGTGAAATCTAAATCTCAAATTATGGTACAAACTACAAGCATGTACAGGTCACCGCTGAAGTAATGAGCGCATATGCTGTAATCGGACGAAACCTAAGACCAATCATTAATGGTGAGGTATATCATCAAAAGCGAGTATCGCACAGATTTGTGTTTCAGTTGGACAACTTTCTCTAACGCATCACAGTTCCACCTGCCACAGAATGCTCGCTATAATCGAAAACGGGAATATTCACTCCATTCGGGGCAGCCCGGAGTCCAATTTCTGTGACCGCCACTGAACAGAGAGTTGTAAACCTACGCACGTGTGTACTACGCCGTAGTAAAGTGACAGTGCTGGACCCTCCAGTAGAGTCTAGCCATTGATGATCGGGAGTCGGGACACCAGCATCGACAGGCTCTCTGTGACAGGCGAGGAGCGGGAGAGTCAGAGGTGGGCAGAGGTTGACTGCGGGGCTACTGGCCGGCGCAGTGGGAGGGATGGATGGAGGTAGGGCGACAGGGACGCAAGCTGCAGGGCAACTGTGAGCTTTGAACCCAGGCGTACGGGAGCGATATATCTGATGCCATTTTGTGAAGCAGACTGTGTGTCACGTGCATGGGCGTAGGAACCTCACGAAAAGTGTGGAGGGGGGGGGGGCAGCGAAACTTCAACGTCACTTTGTGGGAGCCCCAATACCCCTCCCTACGAAGAGTTTTTTTTTGCAGTTTTGTGCTCATCTCATCTTGCTGAGTCATTTCCTGCCTTATTTTTTGTATCTGAATCAAAAATAAATATTTTTCTTTTAAAAATGGCTGAAAAGTGGGGACCCCCCCGGTTCCTACGCCTATGGTCACGTGGGAGCTTTGACGGAAATGACTGTCAAGGCTACAGTTTTGAAGATAAAAGAAATAAGATGTTTGGAATCAGCAGATATAACTATCTCATAGTTCACATTCACCACAATTATTTTTGTTTTAACCCGCGCCCCATTGGGGGGGGCGGGGCTATTCATAGCCCTCCTCCCGTTTTTCTGCAATAACTTCTAAACCGCTTGACGTATCGCCGCCAAACCTTCAGTACCTTCGACTGCATCAATTTGACACCTTGTGTCAAAATTTGAACTTCGTATCTATCATAGGTCGGTCCGAAATTACGTCAGAGTGACGTCATGTTAGGCCGATTTCGACGCAAAACAAACACCACAGGAATCGCTTCCAAGAGCTCAGTTTTTGAGCTAGATCGAATTTCATTGCATGAAGGGACTCAAAATGGACTGCGCTATCAAACCGCTATCTCGGATTTTCAAAATTTTGGAAATTTTAGGAAATTTTATTGATTGAAATTTAAAATTTGTATTTTTATCTTTTAAAAAAGACTTTTCAAAAATAACGGAAAAAATATGATAGAACACATGTTTATTACTTACTCTAGCAAGTTTTAGCCAGATATCTTCAAAAATGACCAAGTTATACGCATTATAGCAAAAATTTCACAATTTCAAATTTTTCAAATCAATTTTTCAGTACAAATTTGACATCGTACACCAATATAAATAGCACCATCGTGTTCCTGAGCTCAACTGCATCTGATAAACATGTTTTTTGTTGAAAAATTGTAACTTTAAAATTGACCTTTTTTAACCTAAAAGTGACCTGACCTCAGCTAGGTTCAGATGAAAATGGCCTCAAATGACACAGCCGACACCGAATTCGAAATCTATGGCCTAAATGGACCATAAAACATGTGTCACGTGACCGACTTATGATATAAGATTTCCGTGACCTGTGATGACCTGACCCTGACCTGAAAATCAAAGTACAAGTTTGGTACCCTAAGGGTATCTAAAACATATATTCACGAGTGTGTAAACCCAAAATTAGCCTGATCTGATTTGTAAGACGGCAGCCAGTGCCCAAAAGGTGAACAAGCCAAACATCGATATTTTTTACTTTGACCTGACCTGTGACGTTATCGGTGACCTTGAGGTCAATGAAATTAAGGTTCGCTCGACAGTTTTTCCGGGGCTATCAGATATCGTTTGAATTTTGACAATCGGCCCAGTAGTTTCGGAGTTAGGATGAATGAATAGCCCCCCCCCCCCGCCATGGGCGCGTTGTACACAGACCCCAGTGGGGTGCGGGTTAAAACTCCATTGATATTTTGCATAACAGCAGCCTATCAACATATTTAAATTCAAAACACTTGTAAAGTCAAATTCTTTGAAATATGTGTGCATGGTAACGTTTACCTGGCAACATAGGCACTATTTTACATGAATTTTCTTTAGATGAGGCCTGTTTCACTAAAAACTTGTAATTACAAGTGTTTGTAGTTTACAATTCATAAGTATTTTTACCAACTACGTAAAAACCGATTTCACTAAGCTTCATCGCCAGTGGCACCTCCGATAAGAAAATGTTTGCAAATAAACTTGTAAACAGTAAAATTGTTTTTAATCAAGAACTATAGCATGTTAAAGATATTGCTTCTTTTTATCAAAGTTTGTGTAGTATTCATGTCAAAAGCTGCCAAATTGAATTATAAATAATGATGCTGTTGAAAAATGATATAAATGATAGTTCAAATTATACCATTATTGAAAGAAAATAACACGCAAAACATTTGACAGCAGAAGACTGTTGAATGCAATTATGGCGCGCGAATGACAAAACATGACGATATGTTAATACCGTTTATTTTGCTTCTTAGGGTGTGTGCTAGTTAAAGGGACAGTATCACCATTTTGATGAAATTTGACATTGCATAGGCCCCACCTTTCTGGTCCGGGAACTGAAGACCGATCCTCGAAGCTCCACACCGTTATCCCGCTATCGCCGCTCAAAGTACGAAAGGTGTACTACACTTTGAATCGTGCTTCACTATCTTCACTGTTTAAATGTTTGCGCCGTTTTGAATTGACCGCCAGTAATAAAACTTTTACCCTGGTCATTTCATCAAATTTTATAAAGTCAAAACGTTTTTCGCACTTATTCATCACCGTTAAATTCATTAAATAGTCGTAGGCAATTTCCGCTGTTTCCTTCGGATTCTAGCGGCTCAACAAAGGAA